ATCTAATAAGACCCAAACGACTGAACTAAATATCGGAAATGAAACTCAACTCCAGATTCCGCAAACAAAAGTATCGAAAGTCGCAGTCCAACGTAACTGTCCCCAATTTTAATCGGACCAGAGACGTATGTGGTGCGAGTGGCGTTAGGCTCGAGAGCTGCTCGTCTATTGGACGATAAGAAAGTTTAAAAATCAGGTGAGCATCAGCAGACATCAAACACATTAGAACCAAGGTCGAGGAACTTATTTAAATACACATGAAACCAGTTAGTGATACAGCAGACTTTGTTTGTCCAAGTGTCCGTTAACATATGGAAATTAACTGTCAATATTTTGAGAGTTTAACTGAATAATTTAAATAACTTTTTGTTTCAGCCTGTTTCTAGCACAGCAAAATTTCATTGATGATAATTTTGAAATAAATGAAATAAAAAAGTTGTTTGGAATTTTATACTTATACTAATACTTTAGAGGTATATTTGCTGTTTTATATGGAAACCTAACCCACTGTAATTAGAATACTATTCTCAGACACCGTAGGATAATGACTTCTAGTCTCTTACTGCAATCGATACTACGATCTATAATTACAATATAATTAGATAGGTACTGTGAGGAAAAATAAAACATGGAAAATCATCCACATAGGTATCAGACATAATAAAATTATTTATGACTCAGTCATCAACAGCTGTGTCGATAAGCTAGTACCAATTTTACGTGATAGTCAAAACATATTACACATGACTCACGATAATCTAAATTCGTTATTGATTGAAAAATGTTGCAAGTATCCATATCAGCATTTATCTCCGATACTCTATCTTTCAAGTGGAGTTAGTATTACTTGTAAGCAATTGTCCCAAATGCTAGAGGTCTAAAAAATACCTCTAGTCTATTAAATCGATGACATATGCCACTAAAATTGTCTGGGGTCACAATCCTAGCAATTACACCAATTATAAGTTAAGGATGACTAACGCGGGATTGATCAATAATATCCTAATAGGTCGTAAGTCCAGAGACGGTGCTCGTAAAACTCCTACATTGTGACTGATCTAATAAAGAAAGTCTCTTTAAATGGTCTCACTCAATTCCCTTTTATAGATGGGTAGATAAGACCAGTACGTGTTCATTCACTTTTCGGCAAAAGTACCAATTCACATACCAAAAATTGTGAATTTTGAATTGAACACAATCTGAGAAAACTACCCATCAGTGATAAACGCACCATCAATCGAAGACCTAACACATCCACTAGGCCAACGAGATTGTCGCGGAGAACCTAACGGGTAACCGGGGCTCCGGCTCGACGTGCAGGAGAAGGAACGGGGTGGTTTTTAGTCAGTAAGAGTCTGACACTCCCTCCCGCCTCACCCAGGCGGGGGCAGTCATTCGATGATTTTCCCCCCTTAAAAAAAAAAAAAAAAAAAAAAAAAAGGCCAACGAGATAGTCAGAAAAAGTTCCAAACGAAATAAAAACCTGACATGACAGAGACCCTAAAATTATGAACCATTGATCAAGTCAGGGTCGATGGGACGATAAAAGCAACGTAACTTGGCAACGTGCCAACAGATTTTGGCAGGACAGAATCCAAACCATTGGGAAATACTCGGAAATAACAACCGTAGGTCGATTTCAAATGAGTTTGAAGAGCAAATCCGTTTTACACAGAAATTAACCCAGTTGAATAGAATTGAATGGTGGATATAGCCTTTGTTATTTTAAATGGCACTTGGACACGTCGGAGCCTTGAAAAACGCTATTGTCTTCACTAAAACTCACTTGGCTGAACGAATTTATGGCGTTGAGATCGCTTTTAGCAATTTTGATGCTAATTCTGTCACACTTGAGTTCATCGGTCCCAATGGAGACGAGTCTTATTGTTTTATAATGCTTTGATGCAAGATGTAACTGGAATAAACAGTAAACCTATGTAATCCATGACACGGTCTGCTTATGACATAAGTTTATGAGAAAATGAGTAAGAAAACCTATCAAACTCTCACGTAACTTAATAGTTTGATAGAAATGCAAATATTATTTAAACTCACAATACCATCCAAGCTTCTGTTTCCCATACAAACTATTGGCTGTCTAACATTAACTACGTCTATTACAAAGAGATAATACCCGTATAAATCAGTAGTAAAATAGGAGATAATATTTGCCTGGGAATTTCAAAACCTGAGTGAATTTTTCTGCCTATTATAAGATGCTGAATATAAAACTTACAAATAAATAGACTTGTCATGACAACGACTTTTCTGACTGTATCACTAAAAATTTTAATAACTACATAGTTAGCACATACTATTTTCTTCCTTTGTCTCTTTTGGAATATTTCAAGCAACTTTCTGGTTATACTACACAGATTTTTTCTGGAGAATAATTTCGTAAAAAAACTTAGGTAATTTAATTTTCACCGAAGACTAGACCAGAGTTTTTAAGGAGCTTCATAAGAGTGAATTTAGTATTGGGCTATCTCTTGAAATGGCAATATGCAAGATCTGATACTCATTCACACGTTGCACGTCTAAACTTATCCAGTTGAGCTGGTAGTGATAGTGGTCAAACGTTGGCCAATCAAATATAATAAAAATAAAAACTGTAATTTAACACTCCATAGGTTTGATAGTCAATCGATCCGTTTTTTGTTTCTCTAACAATGTGCACTTGTTCAGTGTACGCACGTTTTTCCTTGAATTACAGCAGCGATAACACAAATGAGTTTATTCTTACGTTACGAGCACAATTCTGAGTATTATCGAGCATTGCCACCACTTTTAAAACGTCTTTGTTTCCTTAAGAAGTGGAGCTAAAAAGCCCCGAGCTACTGTTTTCCTTTCAATTGGGGTCAGATTTGTAAAGGCATCGTGACTCGTGGTTTTAGTTGAGGGATCAACTGCTTAGAAGCTGCTTTGACAGGTTAGTAGTAAATTTAGTTAGGTAAAAAATTATCATAAGAACAACTAAATAATTTCTTATTTGATGTGTGACAATTTAGTATTGTCACCCTTAACACGTTAAAGGCCATGGGGGTCATCGGTGACTGAGGTTAGCAGAGAATTTGCTACTATGTCGACTAAATTATTGTAGGTTTTTACTGTCCGATGTACATGAATAAAGATAAACTTTTAAAATACACATCAACATCAATAAAAAGATTGTTATGGCACTAGCCCATTAAAACGCAGATAGGCCTAAATATAAAAATAATAATACAGTAACAATATGCACAGACTTATTGTTTGATAACAAAACAAGAGTTATAAACATTTTAACGACTGCGGTTTTACGTTTTTATTTGAAAACGACTTTTAACCGACACTTATAAGTATAAAATGTTACTGTAAAGTTAATCTAAGTGGCTTATGTAGAAACCTTACCACCTTTTAATGGGGGAAGCCGTATAGACTATTAAACGAGAGAGCGACACGTGTGGTGCGAAATATCTTCCAAACGTATATATATACCAGTTTTAAAGACTGTAGAAAAAGTGGTTCTTTTCGCCGAAGGGTGAAGTGATGAAAGCAAATTTTAAGTAATTATCATTAATTTCATGAATGTCTAATAGGTCTCGAAACTCACTTTCCATACAGACTCTGCACAAAACTTGATAATTTGGGCATTCAAAGAACCACAGGTCACAACCAAATATGTACTTCGAAAGCATATATAACGCATATAAAAGACAGTAGGGTCACATTACGTCATAGTTGGTAATAAAACTTAGACGTGATGCGACTTTAAAACAACTAAACAGTCACTAACATTGTGCTTATAAACTTGCATTTGTTTTTTGCAAGAGAAAAAAGGAACAATTATAAAATACAAAGGTCAAATGGCCATGGTGCTTCATGATCACTCAAAGGAGATCGATATCACCCGTTGTTACTTCATTAGAACGAGGTTGCGACCCACGCCAGTTTTTTTAATATAAATCTCAATGAAGCTGTAATTTACTCTGGAAGTCTGGAGTACGACTTTTGTATCTTGGTTGGTTTCAAAGTCACAACTGATTAACTGACTTTTTAGAGCTTAGTTATTTTTGAGTTGAATTTTGGTTAAAACGGAGTTACTGAAAGAAATGTTCTCAAATTATAAGTTTTTGTAGCAGCTAACCGACTAAAAGTTAAAAAACTTTGCTTTCCATTAAAAGTTTGAATCGAAATCAAAGAAAGAAGTCGAGTTAGATAGAGAATAACTTTTACATTTCGATTTCTTTGGTAATTAGATTCTGTATAGCATCCTAATTCCTAGTACTTGTTGGTCTTTCTTTTTCACTACAATATTTACAAGTTTTAAACATTAAGAATGAACTTAGTCATTTATGCTGAACGCAGGAATTGAGTATTCCCCTTATACAATTGAAAAAACACTGCCAGGGAAAACCAAATGAATTATCATATCATTTTGTTCCAAGTTCCTTTATACAATTCACCACGATTGTTGTATTTATATTGAGTTAGTTAACCAACACAGGAAACCGACTATCGGACGCAACTGACGTCAGTAGTTCAACACGTGTAGCTATCAGCTACAACGTTATTCGAATACTGAAACTGAAATCTGAGAGCAAATCGTTTATCTATTACCATTTCCCTATTACAGGAAAATTAATAAATCTCTCTTTGTTTACATCAACTACATCAAAAATTATTAACTACATGTAGTCTTAATCAAAGGAGAGTTTTAATTCTCTCATTTTCCCAAAAATATTACTAAAACCTATCTCACCGTTGTGCCAAATTTCAACAAAAATAGGCCAGTCATAAAAAAGAACAATAATAGTTAGGATTGCAACAGAAAACATAACTGCTCGTGTTAATAGCTGAGACAAGACTGACAATAACGACTCACCGATAGTGTAAGTGAAACAAGTGAAGTGAATTTATTTCTGCAAATAGGCTACAATGCAGCACTTTTACACATCAATTTTATCAAGTGAACGATGAGGCCGACATTTCCTAACTGACTACTCTGAGAAGAAATGCCGAAACAAACTCAGAGGTCTGTCTCTTTTAAGTCCAGACAAATATGGATAAAAGATTATGTGTGAGAACCGTTTAACCTCGTATCTTTATAGAAAGAGAGGGTAGTTATCCAAAAGCAGAAAGTTCAAATGACGTGTGTGAAAGAGATGGAGATATTTTCCATTGGTCTCTCTCATGTCTCATTACACCACCGTAAAAATACTAATTAACATTTTATACAAGACATTTCGATAGCATGTTTAATAGTTACTTAATTTGTTAATTTTAACGACATTATTTTGCATAGAATACTGTCTGAAAATGATTAATCTCATGTGAAAATGAGTTTTAATGATTTCAAAGCGCTAAACCGAATTTGATGTAACTAAGTTTGCTAAAAGAAATAAGGAGAAGATGAGTAGAATAGTCTCGTCGCGAACATGCAAAGACTGACGATCTACATTTCGGAACCCCAAATACATTTTTGAATGTCTTTAGAATATTTTATTTTTGCGTAGTAACAAACAAGGCAGAATACGAGTTAGGCTTACTAATGCCACAATTAACATAACTGGCTAAGGTGAATGCCATCGACGTCTAGGTAAAGCTAATCATATCAACAGCAGTAGTTAAATAAGTATCGTAAATCGAGTTGAAAAAGAAAAAGTGGGTTATTGAATTTATTGCTTTGCCTTCAGCATTTAATATAACTTTTATTGTTTTTATAATAACTATCGTGAGACGTACTAGCTAAATTAACTAAAAATCGCGGGTTACACTCGTGAATATTCTGATAAAAGCACTACTAGTTTCGAACCTCAGAGGGGTTCTTCCTCATGAGTAGCGTACGCGGTCGCGGCAACGTCGCGCAGCCTAGTGATTTTTTGTTATTTTTTACTCTGTACTCGTTTTCGAACCGCATGCATGATTGACTATTGGATAAAAAGTTAAAAATAAATATTTTTATATGCAAGTCAACACCGCGAAGTTAAAAAAAATCAGTCAATGTCTGTGAATTGTCGACGCGTATCGAAATCTAAACGAATCAACAAAGGTTTAACGAAGTCATTGAATACTATTTTGTTTGTTCAAGGTAGACAGAACAATATAGATTCTTGCTACTTTATCCTATTTATTTGCTGCCTTATTCTGCCATTGGTTGCACAAGCAGAGTCAGTTCGGACTTTAGATAAATAGCATGATGGTAGAAACCACGAAAAGGACTTTCCAGGCAAATATATTCTAAGTATTCTGTATCTAAATCTGGAGAATAAACCAATAGGTCAGACAAAAACCTTAACTCCTCATAAACAGATAACCTTGGATTATTCATATCACAATGAGATTAGACATTGACCCAGTCTTTGAAAACTACAATACAATTCAAACAGATGTACAAAACCCTTTCAGCATTTGATTACGATAAGGAAAAAAAAACAAAAATGAACATCCGAAAAAGTCCGAACTGAGTCATGATTGACATTTTTGTTACATGCGCCAAAATATTTCTGTTTAGTGAATTGTAAGACCATTTTCTACTTAACTAACTATTATCTTATTCGTTTTCGCACGTCTACTTATAGGTAAGTACCTAATGCTACAAAAATGGCTTTCGGGCTAAAAGTACTCCGATAATTATGTCATTCATACTTCGCAAGGTGTACCTGCAACATAGAGCAGACCGACGACCGAAGTTATTTTATAGTTACGAAGAAAATTGTATTTGTAATTATCAAAGACTATTTCAGACCAAAAGTTACTTGTGAACATTTAGATCAACAAGTGTACGAATTAATAACTTTCAAATTACATTTGGTTACTTTACTTCGTGTGGACGTAACGTTGTTTACTCCAACAACAACTAGTTATTAAACTCAAATCGATAAGATAGTAAACACGATAAAAATCATCAATTCGGTTCAGAAATGGAAATTATAATGATATTAGAAACAAATGTAATGGGGGATGATTAGTTTGGTCCTAATTACTAACTTATAATGGGTCTGGGTCATTAATATTAACAAGATTGTAGTAAGAACAAAGTTAACATAGCAACAAGTGGCTTTTCAAATATCTTTATGAAGACCTTTCGGCAGGGCGAATTACTGGACCAAAACCGTGTCTTATTTTGGACGAAGCTTTGGAGAATCTAACTATTTCTGCAAGAAGATTTCCCCACCTTAAACGCCAAATCAATTCGTTTACCCCAAAAGGCAAGGTGTATCTGAATCCTTTGACTTTTCATTTTACACTTAACGCAGACAAACAGTTCAATAGATACTTGTATACCAAGTAACAGGGGTAGCCTATTGTAATGTACTCCGATATTTTTTCAACAATAGGTCGATGGATCACAGTATCGTTGCCACGCATCATTGTGAGACAATGTTTACGCTCTGAAAACCTAATAACCCTATTGTAGTCTCTCATGTCAGGAGAGAAGGGGGAAAGATTGAATAAGACCATTCTGCAATCATTTCCGGAGGTAAGCAAAAATAGGGGTCTTTAATGAATGAAACGTCTCAATCTTGGAGCGAATATCCGTAACATTGATTTGGATAAACATCAAAGCTTTTCTACAGGAAGAGTTAGACAGGATCATTTGATCAATGATTAACAAAATATTTTGTAGCTGAGTTTATTAAAGCTTAAAAGAGTACTGTGGTTGTTAATGACCTCAGAATCCGAACATCCAATTTTAGAAGTTGATTAAGGGGTAATATTACGCTAATATAATTAAAAACTACATCAGCTTCAACCGCAAAGTCGAGCTGATAAAAATATATAACTAGTTATAATAAAAGTTATTACGTTATATTTTATGGAGTTATATTATTTGTTAGCAATCCTCTCGTACAATAGTTGAGTGAGTCATAAAAACAACACTTAAAATGTGCGATGAAATCACGGAGCGTACTATGTTAAACTTTGCCTTTTTACAAGTTTTTGACGGCGTATAAAAACTATCACAATCACAATCTTCAAATATCCATCTATCTCTGGCCTAAGTTCGATAGAAATTAGTTAAGCTATTTATGTCGTAATTTTATGCAAAGAGAATTAGGTCGCTTCCAACAGATAAACCTAGAAGTCATTGGGAGGTCTATGTTCAACAGTAACTAGACGTTTTGTGCCTGATATGATGGGGATAAAGGCAAACTGGCAAATTTTACGAAACCATGTACACAGTATCTGGACCAACCAGACAATTAAACATTAGTAGAAACGGGTTTAATGACTTTACAACATAATTAGTTAAACCTTTTGGGAATTATTTAGTTAGTTTCCAACTCAACTATATAACTACATGTTAACTATTAAATGTGGATTAACTAAGGATTTAATCCCACGTACTTAATTAATTGTAATTTATTGTTGTTGAATTTTGGAGTTCATACGGTCAAAATGGCTACCTATTTCATCGGAATTTTTGCAGATATAAAATAACGGATTGTTCTATAAAAAAGTTACGCGTAATCGTCAAAAGGTAGCTTGATAGAAAAAACGAATGACTGTTTGTTGAATTGAGAACATCTGTTTCTGTGGTCAGTTGAAATATGTAGGTATGGTTGGTATGAGTGTTTAACAGATAAAGTAGGTCATAGTATTTTTTGGATTAAATAGTTACTGACGCATTTTTTAATTGGCTAATTCTATAAAACTAAATTTACTAGATTAAAGCATGGTTAGATAAGGGACCTTAAATCTCCTGACAATACCATAATACCTAATTATTTACGTAAAGTTCCGTTGTTTCAATAGATTACACAACTAGTTACTTGCTTAGTTGTTCAAAAGCAGTAGATATTTGTTATTTACGTTTCACTTTCCACGATAAGAAACACCCATCTCACTTCGTTCCACAGACATTAAACAGTGCAACCATAAACAATAGTGAACGCAACTGGTTTGAGATCGAACTATTTTAGTATCTGTTCTAATTTTAACTTTAAAATATTAACGGAATTCTTGACTGCGGGATAAGAGGTTAAATTACTTTCTTTAACAGTTTATTTTACCAAACAAAGACTAGCCTATTAGAATTTGGAAGAAACAACTATTATTATATTCATTTTATTTATCCAAAAATATAACAGAGCACCTTATTTATAACATTTCAACAACTACCTACGTTTGTAACACGTTTTCGTATTTCGTAAGAAAATAAATCATCGCCCTTCGATTCCCGCCATGACGTAAGATCTAATATTATCAATTAGGAATTCTGAAATACCCACAGATACGACTAAGCCTAAATAGCCAACGTAGTGTACAGTTTTTAGGAAACACCAGGTTTTATCACAGAACACTGCTAGGGAGAGGGCGTGGAGGTAACTGTGAGGGTTCGTTATCCTCCAAATGCCTGACGCAAAGAAAAACTTACCAGACTTGAACATAGTTTCACGTCTTATAACATCGTATTCAGTACAGTTCTCTAACAGGTCTTGGTAAATATCTATGTATCTGTTCCAAGATAATGAGGACAGCAACATCTGGCCCGAGAACAGACCAATAACTTGAACTATCTTCTGGAAGGTCACTTTAGTTTTGTACGAAATGCCATTGTCGGTGTTGTGGTCCTTCTCAATATCCTCCGTGGAGTTTATTTCTTTCAACTGGTGGTAGGGGAGGGTGCTGACGGGTGTGTTTTTGTAGCCACGTCTCGGGGGATTGTTTCGTAAATACAACATTATCCCGACCATCATGGCAATAACACCTAATGTGTCACAAATACCGTCCACCCAGTATCCCAGCGTTCCAACTTCTGACTTCTCTCCCTTTATATGTTTTCTCTCTCTAGCTACATGGCCATCCAGGTCATCCAGAAACATTCTTATTTGGAACAGCACTACGCCTATCCTCCTTGAAGCTAGACTCGGACTGGTCACCAGTTTCGCGCCTACCAGTGCGACGAAGACGTGGAAGAAAGATATCATGTTCGGTGTTATGAACTTCATGTTCTCAGAAATGCCTAGACCTAAATCCACGATCGCACACAAAGGCCCATAAATATAGTGGTTGATATGATCCACCATTAACGCCTTCACCGTTGGATGGCACAAAGGGTTTATAGTACAAGGAATCCATGTCGATTCCTCGTAGCTCGGTAGCGTTCTAGTTTCTTTCAACGTTGTGGATTCGTGCGTTACATTCGTTTCTACATCGAATATATCAATTTTATAATTTTGTATCCTTAAAAATAGTAGTGTGTCCATGCATATGCAGTATACAACAATGACTAGAAGTAGAAACGTGAGTATTTTACTCGCTTGTGATGACGGCCACATCATTTTTCCTGTGGTTTAATAACAGAGAAGTTCGCACGAGTTAGGCTTCTTACACGCTTCAAGAGCTGAGTCAAAGCGCACTATATAGAAGTAGCGAACGTGGGCAACGGAACCCACGCATGTAATTCCAAAAATAATCACACTAACTTCACGACTTTATGACAACAATCCCGTGCTGGAGGGTCGGGTAAACTTTTCACTAATAACACTGTTTCTTACTGACATAGTAGGGTCACACAGCCTCCTTGAGAGCCACTAAACACTTGTAAAACACTTCAATCCAAAGTATTTTTCTGGGTAAAATCGATGCACGACTCGGTTTCGGCGACTATGTTATCAAAACAATCCCGTTGTAAGTAACAAGTTGCGGGTTTGCAAAAACACCAGTTGTTGAGTACACTCGTTTTGTTTAGCAGTTTGTTTCATGAATGCATATCGTATTTATTTTTATCGTTGTTCGACAATACAGCTGGTTCGCGTACCGTTTTAAAAAAATGTGACATGCGTGCGCAACGAGACGCCGCGTTCGACTGAATAGCGAATGGGCGAAGCGAATGCGGGGATCGTACCATCCATCGGCATCGGGGTCCCGGCTCGGTGTGGCCAGACCCGGTTTCGTAAATTCCTTTGTACTTTGTTACATTATTATTAATCTGGCGGATGCGATAAACTGGATGATGAAATTCGTGGTTTATATTAGGAATAACGTCAATGGAATAAGTATAATTAATGAGGTAAATACTTAAATAGGTATCATAATGTGATTTTAATATTGGTGTTTTAATGAAATTGATGTGATTATGTTAAGAGAAAATTCTATGAGAATCTAAACGTAAATTAAAATATTCCGTATAATTCCGTAGTTAAAATAGAAATAACTTAATAAACTTATCTCTACACATTTAAAGTTGTGTATAGTTTTGTTGGACATGGCGTTAGATTGTAAGGCAAACCATGTACCTTTTATTATTAAATACATAAATATTTAAAATAATAATAGGTAGTACTAGGTACCTACTAAAGTATCAAATAAGTATTTAATTTATTAAGTAAAAGAACTTCATTTGTTTTGATAGTAGTTACTGCAACATTATACTAAAAAATACATTGTACCTAAGAATTTCATTTCCAATGGGCTAGGTAGCTTTGCAAATGTAACAATATTTAATTTAATGAATGTTAAATAAATCTGTTACATTATAATAACATAATATACTCTCTCAATCAATCTCCCCAAATTCAGGCAAAATCTCGATAGCTGGCAACACTTGACAAATGCGGGAGAAGCACGCTCGATTTCGACACGTCACACGACCGTCGACCATGGCGTCTCATTTCCCGCCAAAACGCATCTGACACCGACCAATGACAAAACACCGGTTAGCGAGTTCATTCAAACGAATATTTTTTTGTCACGAAAAGGCTAATGTGAACTTGGTCCCAAGTGTTAAAAAAATGATTTTCTACTTTATGTGATTGGTTAAAAAGTCGAAAATGTATTAAAGCGCTTAGGGTAGCATGATGTACTGTATTTATTTACCAAGAAGCACAGAATTTCTTCTCTGTGTAGGTAAGTAGTCGAATAAGTAGGTAGGTATTTCATATTATTTTACTTATAATATAAAAGTTTGTTTGTTTCAATGCGCTAATCCCCGAAAATGTTTTTCTTTTGTGTTAAGGATAGTCCATTTAACGGGGAAGGTTATAATAGGCTATAAAATATCACGCTTTTTTTTTTTTTTTTTTTAAGTGGGGAAAATCATCGAATGACTGCCCCCGCCTGGGTGAGGCGGGAGGGAGTGTCAGACTCTTACTGACTAAAAACCACCCCGTTCCTTCTCCTGCACGTCGAGCCGGAGCCCCGGTTACCCGTTAGGTTCTCCGCGACTCCGAATCGGCATCGGCCCTATTGGGCCCCATCTGTGGTGGTCTGATGGCTCTTTGAGGCGCGCGCGGAACGCGACGCGCCGTACGCTCGGGTCTGTTTCTGGTCGGACGGGGAGCCACCCATGCTCGCCGTCCGCAGGCCCGCGCTTACGGTGGCCGGAGATCGTCCCGCGATCCCCGACGCCCGGTGTGTCCTTCGCGATGGCTGGGTTGCGAGGAGGCAGCGCTTCGCTGCCTCACGCGTCCCGCCTCCTCCTTAGCTAGCATGACTGCTTCGCAAAAGGAGGAGACGGCATCCCAATCCCCCTCGCTCCGCATCATGGCCTGCACTAGGCCCGGACGCGAGAGGTCGCCATCGCCGATCACTTCCCTGAGGACACGGCGGTGCTCAGCCCACGAAGGGCATTCTCCCACCGTGTGTTCCACCGTGTCCTCAGGGCGGTCCTCGCAGTGATGACACCCGGGCGTTTCCTCCCGCCCCATCAGACACAGGTACCTCCCGAAACTGCCATGTCCGGTGAGGACCTGCGTCAGGCGGTAGGTGAGGACGCCGTAGCGTCTCTCAAGCCACTCCTCAAAGAGGGGACTTACCGCTGCGATGGCAGCGAGCCCAATAAAATATCACGCTACAATTAATAGGAGCCGAGTAAAGCGGGTAAAATCGCGCGGATGTAATGGTACCTACGTAGGTACCTGATACCTAACTAATAACATAACATCACAAATTACGACACTTAATGCCACTGTACAATGTAACACCCACTTTTCACTATTTATGTTAGTGAGCCTATTGCCATATACCGGGCACGATTCCAGACTCCGTGCTACTACTGAGAGTTTCCAGATCCGGAAATCGAGACCGAGACTTCTTGTCCGACAGTCGCACTTGCGACCACTCGGCCAATGAGGTTGTGATAAATTAATATTAGACAGTTAAGTAACTTACGGTACCTACGTAGTTAGAGTTAAGCTTAGGTAAGTTAGTTATCTACTTAGGTAAGTAAGTACGTAGTTATTCAACACCTAATTGAACGATTTGCATCGTTTTAACTTGTACCTTATATCTCATTGACTGAGTGGACGAAGGGGCTTCTGGCCGCCGAAGGGCCGCCATTGCTTGCCAGGCAAAATGTTGCGGTTTTCAAGAAATTTCCTAATCTTCAAACTAGGTAGGTAACTCCAATTCATAGGAACGACTTGGAAATGGAAGAAAACCGAACAAATACTTCAGTACTTAGGGTCTACCTAATACCTAAACCTATTAGTTAGGATTAGGATTGTTTTGGGTCCCGCCTGAGTGAAGCGGGAGGGAGTGTCAGACTCTTACTGACTAAAAACCACCCTGTTCCTACTCCTGCACTTCGAACCGGAGCCCTGGCAACCCGTTAAGCCCTCCGCGGCAGTTAGGATTACGATACAGTCCAGGTTGCTAAAGTGTATGTAGGTACTGCCGAAGATCTTAGGAATTAAAATAATAAACTAAGCAAGTACTGCAAAAGAGAATATCGGATTAACAAAACAATTAGCGCTCCATGGGATAGCTCAAAATAGACATCGTCCTAATTTCCGTCCACAATAACGTAACTAACTGTAACACATGTGATAATATTGGGCATTATATTTTACATTCATAATAATAAAATAATAATATGCTGGTGACTTGGATACCAAGGTACTTCTGAATTCTAAAGCTCGAAACCTGGGTCAGGCATCTTTGAAATTCGCGATGATAATAATTAATAATAGGCTTGGTAGTTTAATTCAGTTTTGAGTAATAAGGAGATGTTTTCTATTTTGTATTAAATAAAAAACGATATGACCTACGGCGCACACTAAGATTTTCTCCTGTGTCGTGGGAACGTTTACAAACATACATGTTCACATACACATGTCATCCAGACCCGGAACAACAATTTGTGGATCAGGTGGAGCTCACAAAGATTTGCTCCGTGCGGGAGTCGAAACCGCGACACGTTACGCGGCAGCAGCCAGTTGCCCAGCCATCGCGCCAACCGTGCGGTCGATTCGATTGAATGTCAGACTCAGTACCTAATTGAGTATTTCACTTGCCTTACCTCACCTGGCATCAAATTCGAAACCTATTAGTAGAAAGAGTGGCAAAGATTCTTTTGGGCTTCTTTATTATAATTCAAATTAATTGTATGTTTATTTATTAACCCATAAATAGGTACTACATATACACATGTACAATAGACCAAGCAAATATTGACTAAGCCCCATTCAATAAGTTCCACAAACTATTTACTACACTACAACGGATGACAAAGTGACCTTGACCGCGATACACCCATCATCCAAGGTCGACACGTGGATTTAAACGACCCTATCTCATCTCATTACAATTTACAATTAACGCGTAGCTTCATTGACTCACACGGTAAACTGTGGCGCTGTCATCGCTTTGCGGTATCTAATAATTTAACAGAATATTATTACAACAATTATGTTGTTGTTGTGACTGACTTTGTATTGGTGTGGTGATTGATCGTAATCGCTACTGCAGAAAAAGATGACGGACTATCTATCTCCATATCGCGGAATGACGAGGAATTGTTCATTTAGTTTTTTACTGAAAAAATACGCATGTGAGAACGCTGCGCGTGGCAAGACGTGTCTATAAGGTACCTACTCCTCTACTACCTACCTACAACCGTCATTATAGACACGATTAAAGAACAATAGGTGTGCGGACACCGGTGTCCTCGCGGTGTTTGACAGTAATTAGATACAAACTTAATTCTTTTGAGTTTGATTTCAAGGTTGGCGCGGTGGCTGGGCAATCGGCTGCCGCGCAACGTGTAGCGGGTTCGATTCCCACACGGAACTACTCTTTGTGTGATCCACAGATTGTTGTCTAGGTGTCATGTGTATGTGAACTTATATCTTTGTAAACGCACCCACGACACAGGAGAAAATCCTAGAGCAACGTTTTACTTAAATAAACAACAAAGTCATATCGCTGTGGCGCTGTCATCGCTTTGTGGTTTCTAGTTGTGAATGATAATTATAATATCGGTATTAGTCTGATTCTGGTAAATCATAAATGCGACTACGGAAAAAGATGACGGATTTTTATCTCCATGGCGCGAAACGATAATATGGAATTCGTAATTGGAATAAAAAAAATGGTAGAAGGTTTTTTCACATTTATGAGTGCTGTGCGCGGTGAGACGAAATATACCTACGAGGTAGGTACCTACGTTAGATAGGTAGTTCTATAGACTGCCACAGTTTACCCTGCCCCTTCTGTTTTGTTTACAAACATTTCACACCAGTCTTGGTCAAGTCAACACAGTGCAGTTTACATTAAATACAAAGAAAGCAATCCATTAGGAACCATGTAAGGACTTAACATTAAGAATTCTAAATGAACAGTATGAATGGAATCAAACGCGTTGCCGCGTAATTATAGTAATTATGGATTTATGAGAAGTAAGTACCTATGTCAGTTCACTACTTAAACAAGCATTTAAATATCAATTAACTAATTCAAATTTAAAACACCTTTGTCAAACACAGAGAATACCCAAAACTTTTTATATAATAACATGAAACGACTTTAGTCTTTTGTTTCGCGAAAAAAAATTATATTTTATTACATAGGTACCTATTTATAAAATCTCCAGTTAGGTATGTTAATGATTTTACAGACGCCATTAACGAATAACCTGCCTGATAGTATCTACCAAACACCAAACAAAATAGAAGTAGGT